CCCCCAATCTGCCCCCAGCCACCCCCGGTCCTACGCGACGCAAACGCCACAAACTGGGTCGAGCACAGCCGGGGCAATACGCTCGCGGAAATGGCGCCACTTGGTCGTCTTTTCAATCAGACACAAATCGTCCTAGCGGATCCCTTTCTTTTTCTGTGTTTTTACCCCTTCGTTCGGGCTGCTGCTGCTGACGTCGCTGACGAGCGGCCCCGCTTCGCGCGCAGCTGTGCTGACCGCGGCTGACCGCGTCGCGCTCACAGCTCACAGGGCGCAGCTTTAGGCGCGGCCCTCCCCCTCGGCGCGGCAGCTCCCCCAGCTCCACCTCCAGCAGCTCCGCGCCCGAGCCTCGTTGTCTGCGGAGGCTTGGCCCGGGCGGTATCCTCCATCAGCTCCAGGACCCCGAGGACGGGTGACAGCACCGGCAGGCGGGCTGCTCTGTTAGTACACGCGCAGTCACCCGGGATGTGTCTCGGCAGCCTCCTGGAGAGGAGTGGGTGCCCCCCGGTAATCCTGGAGACTGACTGGCTGACATTGACGGGGATGGCGGAGCGGCGCTTCTTCAAATCCGGAGCCGAGCCGAGCCGAGCCGGGCCCGCCGGGCCTCACACAGCGCGGGCGGCCGTGCGCGCTGGGCCGCCTGCCGCCGCGCCGCCTGATCCTGATCCCGGAGCTCAATAAGGACTGTTGTCTCGGGCTCGGCTGGCGCTGTCACTCGCTCCCTGCGCCCCTCCTCCTCATACTCCCCCTGCTGCGGGACCCGCCCGGCGTCCTGTCCTGGGTGTGTTCGTCGTGGCCGCGAGCCGGTGCAGCCCGGTCCGGCCCGGTCCGCCCAGGCGCACTGACTGAGGTTGTCCCGCGCGACCGACAGGGACAAGGGTTTCCAGTTGTGTAAAAGGCGGAACGCAGAGAGAGTGATGGCGAGGGTGTAAGGCAGAATCCTCCCCCCGTCGGTGTCGGTCCTATCTCCGGCCCCCTCTCCCTAACTCTCTCGTGAGGGACGTTCTCTTTAGAGGGGCCTTAGAGAGCGCCAGCAGCGGCTCCCAGAAGAGCCTTGTGGTGGCTGGCGAGGGACGCGGAGGCCTGGACGGAGGTGGGGCCGCGTGGGTGGGTGGGGTGACGCCAGCCTCACCAGCCAGGCAAGAACCACAACACAGCACAGTTGAGCACGCGCGAATAAATCCAATCCTATCAGCCGGGCCCTTTAACAAAGGGAACTCATCGGGAGCGGGGGAGGGGGATGGGGTAGAGAGTAAAGGGCAGGGGGGGGGGAGGGAGACAGAGAGTTGGCCAAGTAACATCCTCTTACCACGAGAGTTCGCGGCGCAGGGCCAGCCAGGCCTCCGCCTCCGGTCCGTCAGACGTCCGGGACGGCGGCGAAGGGGTGCTGCTCGCGGGAGAAGGGCGTGGGGGGTGAGGGGAACGGGGGATGCTAGAGGAGCACGCCAGCAAAAGTTGACAGGATCAGAAGAAAAAGAGAAAAAGAAGAAACGCGCGGTGACGAGTATATGTGAGCAAGGGGGTGGTGCTATGGTGGTGGTGGACTGGGCCAAAGTGGCTCCGCTGGGCCCCGCCCGGGGTCGCCAGCACCCCACAGGGGGGCCCGGGGCCCTCGCCGGGGCATGCCTGCTCACTGACCTCCGATGGAGTGGCAAGCGACTGCCTCCATGTCAAAGTGACCGGAAAATTCTATACGCCGTGGCCGCCCTTCGCGCCCCGCGGCCCCGCTCTATATCCCGGTGCCGGTCGCGCCGTGACCGACTAGAGGGGCTGAAAGGGGGGCGTGCGCGGCGCGGCGCGGCGGGGCCGGGGCGTGATGAGGGTCTCGTTTGTGGGACATGTCATCCTGCCCCGGAGTTTCCTCTCGCCTGGCGCGCCTGGCTGCCGGCCCGCGAGGCCTTCTGATCACGCCCTTTTGATGGCCCCGGCCGCCGCGACACTAGACGTGATCAGCGCCCCTTCATGTCGATATCCG